AAGCCAGATCATCAGAGAAATATATACCTAAACTAAATCCTACAGAAAACTCATTATCAGATTACACTAGAGTGTGAGGCCAGCAAACCATACTGATGGACCTTATAGAAAAAGCTATCCCTAGCCAGTTTGGTTCAGTGGATAGAGCGTCAGCCTTCAGACTGAAGGGTCCTGGGTTCAACTCTGGTAATGGGCCCAATCCCCAGTAGGGGCTGTGCAGGAGGCAGTCAAACAATGATTCTCTCTCTCTCTCCCTTTCCCTTCCTCTCTGAAATCAATAAAAAAAAAATAAAGAAAGAAAAAGCCCTTTAAACCTTATTATTTGCATTGTACAGGTGCTGCCAAATACTTTTTTTTTATTATTACTTCTACAGTGAACTCTTACTAAAATCCTGAAGGAGAAATCCCAGCCTGGATTTAGGACTAAAATTGGTAGTACTTGTCCTGAGTATTGAAAGCTGAAGGCAAGTAATTCCATTGTACTGTACTGTTTCTCAGTTTCGGGTTGCTGGGGCTAAAGAGTACTCTTTAGGCCCATCCTATATCCTCAGGGAGTATTCCGATTCCTTGTATTACTCCAGGTGTGATCTGGGTGTAGCTATATTGGTTGCCTGGAGACTGGAGGGCAGGCTATCTCTCAAAAGAAAATGGCAACAGGGGCTTAAATGTGACTTAGCACTAGATTCGCCACCACCTCCCCTGGACTGCTGCACACTCTCCCCAGATTCTACAAGCCCACACCTTCTCCCGCACCTCAGACACAGGTAGGTGTCTGCATCCAAAAAGTCCCAGGAACCAAGTTCAGTGGGGAAAGGCACAGGCCCCAGGGTGAGGAGGGACTGCGTCCCCACGAGCGCCCTCTTGCTGGCACTGCGTGGTCCAACCAGCCTTTCAGAGCTGCCTCTGAGCTCAGATCCAAAATCCAGACTCCAAGGTCCAAAATCCCCGACCTCCTCCAGTCCGTTGGTCCTTCCCCCTCCCCTCCAACCCCCCCAGACAGATGCTTTCACGGGACCTTGCTTTGCCTGTCCTCAGGGACGCGGCTTGGCACCCTGGAGATTCTCCCTGACCCTCTGGCCACAGAGGCTCTCCAGATTATCCTGCCTAGATCCTTGATTTTACCTTTATCCAAAGTACCTCTGCCCTTCCCGGGTGCGAACTATCTCACCAGCTGCGTCTCCTTGCCAAATTCTGGCTGAATTCCACTCATTTCTGCTGCTCACTCTACTTGCTCCAGGACAAGGCTCAGGACAGGTCCACCTATTCCACCGCCATTTTCCCTCTCTCAACGACAAGCATTATTGAATGAAGAATCATGTCAAACTCAAAAATAACTTACAGAAAGATTAAACATTGCTCAGAAAACCATTCCCGATCATTTACAAGCAATGGGAAAGATTTTAAAGGAAGAAAATGGGTGCCACATCAACTGAACGAAAGCCAAATGGAAAAACAAAAAGTCATCAGTAAAATGTTGCTTCAGTGGCACAAAAGTCTTTTTTGCATTGAATTGTGACTGGTGATGAAAAGTGGACTTATTTTGACATGCACAAAATAAGTGTTGATCTAGGCCAACCATAGACATTGACTAATTCACTTCGGAAAGAAGACAATGCTCTGCGTTTGGTGGGATCAGGAAGGTGTGGTGTATTATGAGCTTCTAAAACTAGATTAAATCATCAATACTGATTGCTACTGACAAAAAAATAATCAATTTGAACCATGTTTGATTGTGAAATGACCAGAATATGCCAGAAAACATGGCAAAATAATTTTGCTTCTTGATGACGCACCATCACACACTTCAAAATTAGTTAAAAACATGTTAAACGATCTTGCCTGGGAAGTATTAATCCACCCACTGTATACACCAGACCTTGCTCCCTCAGATTACTACCTGTTTCAATGATGGCACAGGCACTTTCTGAGCAGCACTTCAAAACATACAAAGAAGTAGAAAATTGGGTCTCTGAATGGTTAGTCTCAAAATAATAAAAAGTTCTATTGGAATGATATCCAGAAATTATCCGAAAGTTGGAGAAATGTGTAGCTAGTGATGGACATTACTTTAAATAAAGCACTTTTGATATTTCTCTTGAGATTATCATGTTTTCTTTAATTACAAAATCTGCATTATTAACTGGTACACCTAGTATGTAAGTGGAATCTTGGTATCAAAAAGTTTAAACAATCTGTCAGGAGACCTGGGTTTTGGTCCTAGTTGGTCATATAAAGAAATTAAATGTGAAGCTTAAAGGATATGTAACTCAATGAACTTGGTACCTCATGTGTTTATTGCAGTAAGAGAAATAGCCAATATTTATTGAAGATTTACTGTGTGACAAGCACTGGTTCCACGCATTTTCTATGTATCCATGCTATAAAAGGTCAGTGGCCGTAACACCAGAACAACCAAATACCGGTCACCAAGAGGTGCATGGAGCACTTCTTGGGCCCTCCCCCAGCCCATGAGCCACTCACGGCAGTGGGGCAGGATTCACAGCTCATGTGATGGGGCAGGGCTTGCAGCTCATGAGCACGGTAGCTCATGGCAGTGGCTCATGGTGGCAAGCTACTCACGCACAGTAGGCCTGGAGTCCCACTGATGTGGTGGGTCTGGGTCTCACACAATTTTGAATGCTGGGCCTCTGGTTAACTAATAACAACCTCATGCTGTAGGTATTATTATAATTTACAGATGAGGAAACTGAGGCACGCAGAGATTCTGTAATATTTCCAGGATGGAAATCTTGCATGGCTGGCAAATGCAAGAAAGCAGTCTAGCTCCAGGGCCCAAGCTCCTACCCACGCCTTTATTCTCCCAACTTCCATTCAGGAGCATCCCAAGGAAGCTCAGAGGACCTATCAGAGCACTATGCCTCAGGATGTATTCCAGAGTTCACCTTCTCAGGATCCTATATATATAAAAGCCTATGCAGTCATCCATCCGACCAGCAGCTATGATGCACAATGACCACCAAGAGGCAGACACTCGAACCAGTAGCTATAATGCACACTGACCACCCAGGGGCAGATGCTCAACACAGGAGCTGCCAAGCTCTGGTGACTTGGCAGCTGCAGTTCTTGGGTGATGCACCCAGAACCAGAGAGGAGAGAGTCCAAGTCCTGGCTGCCTCATCGGAGAACTGCCCTCTTGCAATCCAGGACCCTTTGGGGGATGTCGGAGAACCAGTTTTGCCCCCGCCCCCGCCCCCAGACCACACCAGGGACCCCAACGGTGCATCAATCATGAATCCATACACCAGGCCTCTAGTGCTGACATAAAAATGAAGGGCAGAAAAAAAAAAAAAATGAAGGGCAGTATAATGTAACAAAGGTGACCCTATGTCCTACTTTGCCCCAAGCAGCCACAGTGTATGCCTGTTGTCTCAGTGCCCACCCAAATTTTCTCTTATTCTTCTTTGTATTCCAGTTTTAATAAACATGGAATACAGTCACCTAAGCCCAGCTTAATAGTTAAGAGCTTACATTCTAAAGTTTGCTGGGTCTACTCTTGACACCTAACTTAGCCATTAACATTAGCTGTGGGAGTCAATTACTTTGCCCAAATAAGCTTCAATTTTCTCATCTACTAACTGGAAATTATAATAGTGCCCACCTCAAAGCATTGTTATGGAAACTGTAGGAATCAATGCATATATAAACTATGTGAGTCATTCAGTCTTAGCAGACAGTGAGCACCCAATAAAAATTAGCTTTTACCGACATTGGATTAAAGGTGCGAGAGGCTATCATGGTGGACTTGAGACATTAAAACATACCTATGCATCTGAAGCACTCGGACGTGAGCCAGGATATGTAAGGAATGCCAAACCTCTAAGTAAGTCACTGGCACTTCACTTAAAGGTTTGGCAGTTCTGAACTGAAATTATAATCCCAACTCCATTGGGGAACTAGAGTTCCAATCCATGCCTGTCCAGACTCCATGGGAATCTCACTAAAATATTAATTTCATGGTGACAAGGACTAAGGTAATAATCTCTTAGTTTATAGTCATCTCTTTGGAGTCCTTTTTAGCCTCTTGGGGAAGCCTAGATTCACAGTAGCAACTTCTATGGTTCTTCTGCTTTTAAACACAAGCCCCTGACCCGCTCTACTTTGTATTCCGAAAGAGCCTCAAGAATATCCTTTATGAGGCAAGACCATGGCCACAGGCCAGCCCTTTTACTTGCGATGGAAGTGACTGGCTACATACTCAGAACCTGCCAACATGTTTGTCACCTGAGAGATTCTTGGAAATCAGACTCAGTAAACCCTAGTCGGAAAAAAACACACACACACAAAAACACTGGGGGGAAAAAACACAAAAAAAACAATATGGCTAGTTAGCATATATATTGGGCAAATCTCCTCTTTGTCTCATGGTCTTTGTTAAATAAAGTGTTTAAATCCATAGTGAAAAATCGAAAGAGTGACTCTAACAGGGTCTGGCTCTGGGCTCCTTAAAAAGATTCCATCTGCTAAAGAAAGATAACCCACTTCCCCCTTAACAAAACAAAACAAAAAAAAAAAAAAAAAAAAAAAAAGGGGGGGGGGGGGGGGGGAGGAACACAATTGGACGTACTTCCATAGTAACCTATCTCAAGATATGCCTGACGGTCCGTGAGACCTTTGCCTCCACCCTGGCTTCCTCCCCTCGTCCAGCAAATGGCCATTGGCTTTCATTAGATTGAATAATCCACTGGGAAGTGCCGTCGGGGAAATGGGGAGCAAAGTTTACACACTGTAGGCTTACGCTTGCATGTTGAGCACAGCATTTCACTGGAATGCTCACATCCCAAAGCTGGGGAAAGAATGAGTGCCAAGCATATGGAAAGACACGCTGCTTGCTGCTGTGCTGCTGCTGCTGCTGCTGCTGCTGCTGTCCAAATGTGAAACGTGGGTGGAGAAAATCACTTAGAAAAAGAGAGTCAGGGAAAAGAGAAAACCAACCCCAAACCCCAACAGCTGCAAAGAAGGAAGCATGGGAAGCTTGTTACCTTGGGTGAACTCCGCTCTCCTGCTCACGGAAGGCAGGGTCCTGTTGAGTCCCAGGATCCTGTCCAGGTGGAAGGCAAACACTTCGCTCATGTCTAAGGGCTGCTTGACCAGCCCGCAGGGGCTAGAGCCACAGCCAGGCACGGAGCCAGCGGAGCTCCCCTCCAGCACCAGCAAACGCGCTTGGCTCTTGGAGGACACGGGCTGGAAGCCCAACACTGCACCATCTGCCAGCAGGCGCATTCTGCGGATGTCTTCTTTGCTTAGCCACGAGGGGGCGCTCTCACTGTAGATCCTGATGTTGCTCTCCGGGGCCTGGGCCAGCTGGACATCTGAACCCCCAACGCGTGCTCCTGGACCCCGTACCAATCTCCAGGAACTTTCCCCAACGTTGGCCAGGTTTCCTCTCTGGACATACCCAGGCACTTCAGCATCCGCTGCCCCTGCTGCCCCCTGCTGCGGCTGAAGGGATGGTCCCCCCAAAGCCTCCAGGACTGGGGCCGGGGATGCCCAGGCATACTTCTTCCTGCGCTTGGGTTTCACCGTGCCGCGGATGTTGGCGGGCTTGCTTCGCTTGGAGCGTAGGGTGATGTACACCACATTGGGCAGCAGGGTGGTCCCGTTGTCCTGGGCCTCGGGAGGGGCCAGGGTACCATCCAAGGGGATCTCAGGGAAGGGCGCTTCGGCGGTGTCTGGGCGCTGGTGCGGCCCCTTTCCGGCGGCCGGGCGGTGCCGGAGCGAGGCGCGCCCCACCTGGCTCACCAGGAAGCCCAGGTAGATGGCGCAGGCCGTGCCCAGCAGGAGGTTCCTCCGGGTGCGCGGGCGCCGGCTGCTCCAGAGCTTGCACACTCTCGGGACGCACAGGGAGCAGAGGAACCAGTTCAGGAGCCGCCCCGGCTTGTCTGGACAGGTCATTTCTCTGCCGCATCCGCATGGTGAGCAGAATTTAACGTCTGCAGTTGTCTCCCGATGGCATGACGCATGGCTTCCTGAATTCCCGTGGTGTCGCCTCCGCTGAGGTGTCTAAGGGGTCTCCAGTGGGTAGAGGTGGAAGAAAAGGGTGGGTGATGGTGTTGGGAATGTTGGTGACACTCTCGGCACAACAAACCTTTTTTTAAACTCCTATCAGCCTCCCCGAGGAGAAGTGTGGCTTGTTTCTGGGAATGAATGGAAACAAGAGATAACTGAGTCACAGCCTCATACTAGCTCAGTTCCTCTACAAGAGCAAAGAAAAAAAAAAGTAACTCTTTCCTTTCATTAATGTCACCACTAACATTTTTAAGGAAGTTTAAAAAAAAAAAAAAAAAAAAAACAGAAACAAGATAGAGGTATAGGTTTGATATTCAGCTTAAACAAGTGAGAACAAGCCACAAAAATCCAAGGATATTTTATAATATGTAGCTAGTCTTATCATTTGATTCTGAAGGAAAAGCATTAAAATTTGACAAATTCAGGCTTTTCCTTTTTGAAATTCAGAAATAATTTTAAAATAAATAATAGATGTGTGTTTTTAAAATCTTTATCTAAATTCCATATTTGTTTTTTAAAATCCTGCACTAATTAGTTAACTAACATTCAAATTCAAAAAATATATTCTCTTAATCTAACAGTTCAGCTTTTTCTTATAATATGTTCCATTATCTTACATTAATAATTAATATAAAAAATAGTTAACAAGCATAAAGTCATAAATGCCCATATATCTTGAAAGCAGTTACATTTTTAGTCACACACACAAGGAGAAACACAGAACACAAATCTGACTGCTTTTTATCCCTTTTCTTTCCACCAAAGTCAGCTGAAGGAAAATTAAAGGCTCCCTAGCTCTATTTATTCACATTATTAAAAAGAAGAAGAAACTGCAAGCAACCTTACTTACACAGCTGGCCCCATGCTCAGCTCCAGGAACAATGTAATCCCTGACTCTAATGCAAAGAACTTTTAAAGGCTGAGGCATGTAAGTAGAACATATTTCATGGTCAAGAGTGTTCCACATTTCAAATACTTCAGCTCGGCTTTAAAAGCTCCCTTGAAAACTACTGATTTCAAGGCAAAAGAAAAAAACAACAGTTGCCTGTAAACTGGCTTCTGTAACCCAATTTTAATACAGGTACATTAAAAAAAATGTTTAGAAAATAAGCTTTCATTTTAAATTCCGAAAGAGCAAATGCCTTAAAGAAGCAGTTTTCATTCAAATAATTCCCCACTTATTTTTAACCCGTGGGAGCCCTCTAGTGTCTGGTTTGGAAACAGACTCAGAAGTGTCAGCTTCAGAAGTTAAAAAGAATTGAGGGTTTGCTTAGCCGCAGAATAAAATACCTTATAAAATGAGGAGGGCTATCATATCACTCTCACTCCCACTGTCTGTCCCACTTAGCTAGGGATTAGGGTTCCCAGGATTACAACTCACCTTACTCTCTTGGCTTTTTGCTGGGGAACGTTGTCTCCCACCACTGCTGAGAAGTCCTGGAGGTTCAAAAAAGGCGAGAAAGGGTTAATGCAAATGAGGGGGGAAATAGAATAGCGAGATAAGAATACACACAGATAGGGAAAGACGTGTGGAGTGTGCAGTTGCATGGAGCAACAGTTCACAAAAAGTAGTGGAGGATTCTCTCTGATTGGAGGTTTAAAAAAAAAAAAAAAAAACGGTTAGTAATTGGCTTAGGTTGTTTGCTTGTCCTGGCACAAAAGCAGGGGTGGATGACCTCCGGGCCTCACTTAGGCTTATTCTTTTTGCTTTGGTGGCAAATAGAATCAGAAGGCAGGAAGGAGATAGGAGTGTCTCTCCCTCCTCCCCCCCACCCTCCCCCCTCCAAGAAGTTTGTGATACCGAGGTGTGGGTAAGAGACCAGAGTGTGGTATACAATTCTAAAAATACTTCCTACAAAGCAAAAGAGATTACGGAACTGGAATGTATAGATGATAGAGAAGGAAAGAATAAACTTCCGAGAGAGAAAAGTGCCAAAAGTTATAACAGAGCTGTTACTCGAGCACTCTTAAGCTCAGACCTCTCTTCCTCAGTAAACGTCCTGCCCCATGGGGCAAAGAGATGGAGCAATTCCAACACTGACCGAGGCCTAGAAGTACCTGTTGATTCGGGACAAATTTCCTAAAGAACTCAAGCACCACCGCAAGTTCCTTTGTGCTCCCAAACTCCTGGAGCACACTTTCAGAAGCACGGACTTATTTTCTAAGATGGTAAATGTTACCTTCTTGACAGGAAACCAGGGCAGAGCCGATTTTAACTCTCTTATTGTTTTCACCTATTGGGAAGAATGACCTGACTTAGAGGGAAGAGGGGACAGGAAGAGATTAATCAAAGAAGTTGTATGTATTAAGGCCTGGGGAATGTAAGATTGGCGTCTCTCGAGGCATTGGGCAGACACAGCCAGCAAGCAGGAGGGAAGTTTATTAGAGGGATTGGGAGGATGGAGCCAACCCAGGAAGGTGAGTTAAATTTTATGTGCCAAAACTGCAAGGTCCAGAGGCTGAGGGAGGTTCTAGTCTGACCAGATGGAGTTCATTGTCCTTCAAACGGATTAGTGCTGGTGGTTGAGGCTGTGGGCTGTAAGCGGGCATTGATAGGTTGATATCATTGACCTGCTGGCTCGCCCTCTGTGCGGCTGCCTCCTGTTGTGCCCGATAGGGTGACTGCAGGCTGTTCCACGAAATGAGGCTAGGGGCCACTTTCTCCTTGGGGACTGACTTTCTAGTCCACCTGAGCCAAATGCCCTCTGCTGGCCTGTCAGGGAGGGGTGGGAACAGGTGGGGGGTAGGGGAGAATCAATTGGGGGAAATGGAGGACGTCTGTAATACTTTCAACACTAAAGGTACATTTAAAAAAAAAAAAAAAAAAAAAAAAAAAGTCTTTAGCCCTAGCTGGTTTGGCTGAGTGAATAGTGTCAGCCTGCGGACTGAAGGGTCCCAGGCTACAGGCTCGGTTCACAGTGTGGGGCATGAAAGAGGCAGCCAATCAATGATTCTTTCTCATCATTAATGTTTCTGTCTCTCTCACCCTCTCCCTCCCTCTCTGAAATATATATATATATATATATATATATATATATTAAAATTGTAAAAGTAAGTCTATAGCAAAAGCCAGGTTATAAGAAGCAGAGCAAAGGCCTCCGCTAGCTGTTTATAAAGCAATTTTTTTGGTGGAGAAATGCTTAGAAAGTAGATAAGAACTGACTTAGTAAATTTGGTTGACTACCTCCTCACCCTCCACCCCGCCCCCCCCCCCCAAAAAAAAATGCCTCTTTATTAAAAGACCAATACATTGCCACAAGAGAGATTCGTGGAGACAAAAGGCTGTGATATTTAGAGATAGGCTCAAAGCCCTGGTTTGAAGTTTTCCTCCTCCACTGCCTAGCTCTGGCCTCTATGGCAAGTAATCTGACCTCTCTAACCCTCCCTTTCCATCTCTCTCTAAGAGAAGAAGAATCCTACCACTTACCCCAAGCTTTCTTGCCTTGTGATCACTGAATGAGATAGAGGTGCAGGAATGGTGATCAGGCAGCGGGTGGTTATCCTTCTAGCAGCCCCTGGACAGCAGACAACTAAAGCCTCTTTCAGCTGCGGATGCTGAAGGGCTCAGCACTCAGCCTCCCACCCCCGCTCCCTGACCACACACTCAGAGGCCAGCACAGACACCTGGCCCAAGTCATTCTTGGCTTCAGACAGAATAATCCCAAGCATTGGCGGTTTTGGGCCTGTGGAGAGGAGTCAAGATTGGATAAAGCTGTCTTGATTCTCAAGCTCCTTGCAGGAAACGAGTGCAGAGCTACAAATGCTCTCTTCTCCTCGCCTAAGGAATAGTTTGTGTAAAAGAAATAAGCTGCAGGGGGACATCTAAAGGAAGGGAAGGCCCCTGGATTCAGTAGAAGTGCATTTGGATTACAAGTAAACACCTTCAAAGGCCAGGAGAAGGTAGAGAGAAACTATTATTTCATTCCTATCTAGTAGTTTTGAGACACAGGTGGGTCCCCCATGGTGACTCAGACATGGGTGGCACATCTGGTGAGTTGTTGGGGGATAGACACTGCGTATGCATGTTTTATGAATTGATGGAGAGCCTAGAGTAGAAAAGCAGAATGTATGAATCTCACACATTTTCTGCCCATCCATCCATCGCCACCTCCCCAGCCCTATAGAGTCAAGACCCAGGGAAGAACTATAGGCAAACACTGACGGTGTTACAGAGAACCGGAATTAATCAAGCAATGCTGGGAGAGTTTGGAATTAAATTTATTACGCGCACGCGGGTCCAGAGGAAAATGTCTCTCAACTTCTGGGCCCCAACATGGAGACATTTTCCCTATTTATATGTTTTTACCTTCTTTGCTTTCAAATATGGGGTGTTTCCAGCCCCTTTTGCAAGTTCTTAAACAGCCCCTGTATTCTAGGGCCTTGAGACCTCCACCAAAGGCTTGGCCTGGTGTCAGCACTGATCATTTCGTCCAGGGAAGGTTTAATGGCCTCTCTGAAGTGGAAGTAGTCTTATTTTCCTTATTATTTAAGCAAGCAAGCATTTACACAAGCCAAATAGCAGGGTTAAAATTTCAAACAGCAGTTTTAATGTAAGATGGATGCTTCGATGGAGAGATTTATGTGTATTATTATGTGAAATACTGAGGCATGTGGATGAAAAAGGGGCCACGTGCTAACCTGACTAGCTCAGGGAAGGCCTGCATGGTGGTCTTCCAAACTCAGAGACCTAAAGTAACCACAAAGGATGGTCTCAAACTAAAACTTTAAAAGCAGTGATGGTGGGTCACGTCCGAGGCCGGTATCTTCCCGGACAAAGGTCAGTCTTTGCCTAACTGAGCCTATAGTCTTTTTGCATCTATGATAGCATATCATTGGAATGTCAAAGTAACTTCTCTTTTTCTGGACCCCTCAGAGCCCAGGCACCACTCTGCGGAGACCGCAGATTGTCACTGAGTTGTTATATAGTTGATTATTGACTGTTAACTATCCTGTACCCACCTGAGTAAAAGAAGCATGTGACTATCATTTTACTTTGTATGCAATTCCAAAGGCTTCACCTCCCCACCCCCACTTTGCTTTCTCCCACCTCCCTAACCTATGACCAGCTGAGTTCATGTAACCCACTTACATCTTCTCTTTGGACTGCCATGTATAAAATTAGGTGAAAACCCGCCATTCTCCAGAGCATTACCCCAATACGTTGAGCTTCTGCTTCCGGCAGTTGTCAACAGTTTGGTTCAAATAAACTCACAAGAATTCCTTACAGGCTTGAATGTTGTTTACATTAACAGGCCCCAGGAACACACTTTGGTTTCCAGACAAGGAAATGGGATGCAGGCTCAGGGAGCATCCCATGTTCCTACCACTTCCAGGTGTCAGCGATTTCGGAAGCACTGGTGGGAAGCACCCCTGGCGTGGATCTCATGGTTCCCATGGAAGCTCCAGCAGCAGCGGTGGGCTCCACAGAGAGTTACCTTTAAGTAGCTGCACAGACAGGAAATATCCCTAGAGATGCTAGTGTGTGGGAACCAGACACTTGGCATCTGACTATGAGTGTCAAGCCCTGACATCCCTGTGAACCCAGTGAGTGCTGGGCGTCTTGTTTTTGTGCAGAAGAGTCAGTGCCCTCTGAGTCACTCACCAAAAAGTGCTTGTTACCCATAGGCTGTGAGATTCAGGGCAGTGGGGGAGTGGGGGGAGAATAAAGGTTGAACAGCCACTTAATTTTTATGAAAGAGCCACTAAATGCCAGTCACTAAAGCTGGGTTCTGGCGGGGGGGTGGGCAGGGTGGGGGGGCGGTATGCAGTGTCTGAAGCATTTATTAATGTCTCAATAAATATTGAATGATTGAATGAACAAATGAGCAAACGAATGAACATATTAAGATGATACAGTGCAATCCCTAAATCAATGGTCTGGACCAGCAGCATTAGCTTCACCAGGGAATTTGTTAAAAGTGCAAATCTATGAACCCCACCCCAGACCTCCCAGATTAGAAACTCTTGGAGGAGCAGCTCTGTTCTGTGTGGTAACAAGTCCTCCAGGTAGCCTCCTGCATGCTAAAGGTGGAGCACCATTGCCCTAGAGAAGGAATTTCCTAAAGGATGGGGCAGGCCCGGAAGAGAATAGGAACCTGCCAAAGAGGAAGGATAGAATAAAGTAAAAAGTTGTAAGAAGATTCAAAACAACATTGTCAATTTACAGGAGACTTTTCTGTACCCTCTCCTTCTTTGAGTGTTCTATTTCCTTATCAACACTTCATTTGCTGGTTGAAAAAGGAAGATGTTAGTATCACATACTCTGCTAGCCTCATTTACCCAGCCCTATAGATTCTAGTTCTTTTCTCAAAGCAAGTCATAGCCTGTTTATACTGGGAAAAGGAAAAACTTGAGAGAGACTACAATTTACACCCTATGGAATAAAAAAATTTAAAAAAGGAACACTGGTAGCTGAGTATGGAGGGACTGTTCAAGAAAAACTGCAGGAAAAAATTAAATCCTCGACAGGCCATTCCCAGTTCTGCACCCATACAGACACATTTTATAGGAAAATCACAGTTTTCTAAAAGGTAATCAGGGGGGT